TCCTTTTGGACAGCACTGCTGTAGGAGAGCAACTTTTGTTTGACTTACTATTTGCTATTGATTAGGGCCCAGACTCCTAGAAGTAAAATGCTAACTTAAAGAAGATTGATAAGCGGCAAATGATTTTTGTCCAGCAGAGATGCAAATGATTTCTGTCTGGAGGAAAGGGCAACCCCAAAGGTTACGGTTTTGTTGTGCTATAGGACATTAACCAGCTTAGTATCTAACTTTGCAATCTTATTCCAGTGCTCTTTTTCTATTGATTATATACATCAGTTTCTCATACTTCCTTTGAACCAGCTTTGTCATCCTGCTGATTCCCTCACTATGAGTTAAATAAATTACTGGCACATCCCACTGGATGCTTGTGAGAGGGTCATGTTTTTGACTCTTTGGAAATTATACTTTGACATCAGGTAATGATGGGGGCTTGAGGGAAATTTAAGCAGAGTGTGGAGTTAGAGAGCGACAGAATGCAATTTTAGCTAGGCAGGTCGGGGGGGGCCTTTCTGAGCAGGTGACATTGGAGCAAAGACTGAATTGAAATGAAGGAGCAGGCTGTTTGGATATCTAGGGGTGCATGGTCCAGCACAGGGGGGACACAGGTGCAAAGGCAGGTGCTGAGGCTGTCTTGTGCTTGGTGTCTGAGGGGAGCTGGGAAGCTGGTGTGGGTTGAGCTGTGTGATCCTGATGGGCGGAAGAGCTATGGGAGAGGCAGGGGCCTGATTTTATAGGGCCTTGAGTCCAAGGTAAGGACTCTGGAATGCATTTTACAGATGGCTGATTATTTTAAGGCAGAAGCATAACTCCTTTTCATATTCCAGGGGTAGTGTTGAAAAGCATCCTTTGTGATCTATCCTGCTGAGGCTCTCCTGGGCAGCAGGGGTGGTGGGAGGGAATGGGACACCCTTCACCACGTGCTGAGTCCCATTCATGTAGAAGCACTGTGGGTGAGCACCTAGAGGTGCAGAAGGCCCAACCTGGGAGAAACCTCCCCTGACACCCCAGCCCCACCCACCCCCTGTGTCTCACTTAAAGGTTCTTAAAAGAGCTTCTCTAAAGGAGCAATTATCTCTGGAAGAAGACTCTGGCAGACCTTCCAGAAGGTTCCAAAGTAGCCAGGTTTCAAACGAGAGGTTTTTTTCTCATTCCAGATAGGTGAAGCTGGGTTTTCACCAGACATGGTAGCAGGTCTGGGGCTTCAGAGAGCGGATGAGGTTGCTAGTACGAGTCCAAGGATTGGGGATGATAAAATGAAGATAGGAAGGGCTAAAAGACTGGGTGAAATGGGGGAGTGTACTAAAAGCACCTAGAAGTGTCTCTAAGGTAGAAGAGCAAGGGCAGAGGGAAACTGTAGCCAGGGAGTGAGATGTGACAGCTGAGATTTCAGGGATGGGGAAGGCCCTGGTGGATGTGGGTCCTGGCACAAAGATGCTTGCATCAAATCCCAGCTCTGCTACTTAGAACCTGCATGACCTTGGGCAAATAATGTACCCTCTCCTCTCTATGATGCACTTTCCTCGTGTGTAAAATGGTAGGATAATAGTATTGCCTTGGAAGAGTTCGTTGTTGGAGCACCAAATGAGATAACCTGTGGAGGCTTTAGAACAGTGCCTGGCGTGGGGCAAGTGCACCACAATTACTACCTGCTGCTATTGTTATAAAGGGCTGTCCTGAGACTGCAGGGCTGAAGCTGAGTGTGAGTCCAGGGGACACTGAGGTCACTTAGGATGGCGGTGGGGCTTAGGTAGAGAGGAAGGGTGTGTTGAATTGAATGCTGCCGTTGGTGTGTTGAGGCGAGGGCTGTCAGAATGATGACCTGGCTGCCTGGGCGTCCTCCAGGGACATCTTCCAGGCTCCAACTCCTGCTCCCCTTCCCCCAGAGGAGCCCAGAGTAAACCCCAAGCCACTCAGAAGCCCTCAGTGCCTCCCAGCATTATGAAGTCCTGGGAGCTTTACATGCATCATCACATTCCATTCTCTTACAGCCCTGAGAGACAAGTATGACCATCCCCATCTCACACTTCAATCCATGGTTAGGGGTGAGTTGATCAAGGGCTAAGCTAGGCAGGAACTTCTTCCTTTGCTTCAACCAGAGCAACTCCTTTCTGTTGGTGTCCATGTGGATTTTCACTGAAGATATTGCTTGACAAAAGAATGCCACAGCTTAAAAAATAACAAGGATGGAAGGACTGAAAAGACCTGGACTTGATCACCTTTAAAAGGCTCTTAAAATTCGGATACTTTTTTGCTCTCAAACTGCACTGAAAAATTCCAAGTAACCCTTAGTATCAGTAGGACCCAAAGAGGTCTTTTCCCCCAAGGTCACTGCTAAGCATGCTCCTTTGGCATCACACAGATCCACAAATAAACAGAAATGTCAGGGATTCTGGGAGGCTCTGCTCATGGGCAGAGAAGGAGAAGGGGTGGTGCCAAAGGGAGCAGAGAAAAGGAGTATGATCTTGTTCCTTTCCAGATCTCCCTTGCTCATTGAGATTCGGCAGCAGCCTACTTCGATACACTTCAATACATTCCCCGGGAGTCACACACAGAATGCAATGATCCGAGAAGCTTATCTGCTCACCCAGGCGGGTCACAGGACAAACAGCACGCAAAGGGCGAGCCCATTCTGCTCCACCCAACCCCACCCTACCCCTGTCCAATTCTGTCAGCAGTATGTCCACTTTCATTGCCCCATGTGTCACTTCTCTTCCCCGAGGGAGGGCGGGACCCTTGCCCCTGGTAATGGACATGGCTGTTCTGGAACAATCCCTACCCCTTAGACACTTTCATTCCATCACTCATACTGCTTCCTCCATCTGGAAGAGAATGTCCTTCTGAGTTGGGAACCTCTCAACCTCCATGTCTGAGTGTAAAAATGACCTCTCTCAGGTCTTCCCTGGTGGTCCAGTGACAAAGAATCTGCCTTCCAATGCAGGGGACACAGGTTCGATCCCTGGTCGGGGAACTAAGATCCCACATGCCGTGGGGCAACTAAGCCTGCGTGCCACAACTACTGAGCCTGCACGCCTCAACTACAGAGCCCATGTGCTCTGGAGACCGTGCGCCACAGCTAGAGAGAAGCCCGCATGCCGCAAGGAAGATCCCATGTGCCGCAACTAAGACCCAACGCAACCAAGAATAAAATTAATTAATTTAAAAATAAAATGACCTCTCTCCCCCATCTTTATGCCTAGGAAGTGAGATTTTGGTTAATTTTAAATTTTTTTTATTTGTACTTTTCTATACTTCCTGGTTCTGTTGAATTAGCAGGTATTACAAATATAAAAGCAATAAAACTATTATTTTTATGTAGATTTCTTCTTTTATTATGGCTATTTACCCTTCAGGGTCCAGGAAGAACTTCCTGAGCCCTAGCCAGCAAAAACTTCTATCTCTTCCAAAACCCCAAAACTCTTCATTTCCCTCTCCCACATTCCTGAGCATTGTATGTCTGCAGTTATGGTGTTATGGCCAGGTCATACCTCCTTCCCAACCAGACTGCAAGTGCACTGTGGACCAAACTGGGTGATCTGTCTCCACTGCCCAACTTGCCACCTCCAATATCTCCATCATTTACCACCACCATTCCTCTCTTCCACAACACCACACTATCACACTCACCACCCACTAACATCATCACTGTCACCTCTACCCCCATCACTACAACCACTATCACCCATTACCATCACTACACTCACCATCACTGACACCGCAACCAACAGCAACCACCAGAGTTACCACCACCATCATAATTACCACCACCACCACCACCACCATAACCCCTATGATAGGCAGAAAAATTACTTTCCAAAGATGTCCACAACCTAATCCCTGGAACCTGTAAGTATATTACCTTACACAGCAAAAGGACTCTGTAGATGTGATTATGGATAAGGACCTTGAAATGCAGAAATTATCCTCTGGGCGGATCCAATCTAACCACATGAGTCCATAAAAACAGAGAATCTTTCCTGGCTGTGATTAGAGAGATTGACAATGAGAGGAGGGTCGGAGAGATGTGACATTGCTGGCCTTGAAGATGGAAGTAGGGGCCCATGAGCCAAGGAATGTGAATGTTCTCTAAGAGCTGGAAGAGGCCAGGAAATAGATTTTCCCTTAGAGCCTCCAGAGTGGAACTCAGCCGGCTGATACATTAATATTAGCCTAGTGAGCCCTGCATTGAACTTCTGACCTACAGAGCTATACGGTAATAAATTTGTGTGGGTTCAAGCCACTAAATTTGTGGTACCTTTGTGACAGCAATAGAAAATACAACCCCCATCAACAATACTGCCACAGTCACAACCACTCACTCATCATCACTACCCCCCAAAACACTACCCTGTTACCATCATTAAAAACACCATTACAACCACCATCTCCAAAACCACCACAATCATGAACAACAAATCACTGTTACCATTACCCCCATTAAAAATACGTTAACCCTAAAACAACACCTGTCACTACTATCCCCACCACTACCACCACCATAAATGACACTCCCCACCATCACAACCCACATTAGCACCACCACTTTTACCCCATCAACAACACTACAGTCACCACTGCCCATCAATACACTCCCCCCAAAAAACACCCATCTCCCGCCACTACTACCCATCGTTACCAATACCAACAACCTATCACCACCACCCACTACCACCACAATATCAGCACCACCACAATCACCAACACTTAACAATACCACCCACCACTTAAAGCACCCGCTACCACTACCATCATCACCACCAATGCCACCCACTTCCACAACCATCACCACTCCTGAGAATGTGCATCATGAATGATTGGTTGGTTGGTTACATGAGTGAATGAGTAAGTATATGAATGAATAAGTAAAGGAATAAAGAAAAAGCCCCAGAATGCCTATGAAAGTCAGCTCCATCATTTGGTGATTTGTGGTGTGTAATGTAAATAGATTTGCACGTCAGAGCTTCATCTTTTTAACATCCCTTTTGTCTTCCCAGCTACCCCATCTGCTGCTGCCTTCTTCAGCCACTGTCTAGCACTCCCCAAAGCCTGAAGCAACCTCCTCCAAGACAGTGCTTGAGATCAGTGTGTCCAAATAGATGGCTGGCAAGGCTTTGAGACAGAGGAGCTGAAAGTCTGAGTTCTTGGTGAATGAAAGGTAAGTGTGCATCCAGTTGCCTCTCAGCTCCTGGAGCGATGATGTGGGGCTATCCAACGAGCTCTGAATAACAACCTAATTTAAAGTGTGGAGCAGGAAGGGAGAAGCAGTGCCACTCAACCCAAATTCTGCGGATGTTTCTGGTGCCTTGGCTATTCTCACTGCCTATGAAACCCCAGTCTTGTCCTCCCAACTTCCCTCTTTGCCACTCAGCATATAGCCTAACACCCTGGGACATGGCTGGGAGCCAACAGATCTAAGTTCTAGCTTCTAGCTCCTGCCCTGACAATGGTTTTCTGGGTCTCTGTCTCCCATCTGAGCAATGGGTAAATTAGGAAAGATGTGTCTGGTGTTCCTCCAGTTCTGATGGTCTGTAACTTAACATTTCTACCAAGAACATTTTTTTGTTGGAGGCATCAACATGTGAAATCAGTCTCCTTGGACGTATAATCCCTCTCTGTTCACATGCTTGATGACAGACACAATTCCAAAGTAATGACTGAGCACCCAAGAAGAGCTGGAACCCTTTATCTTTATATCCAATGGCTCAGTCATGAATTTTAAGCCAGAAGGCCTCAAGGGTCAGCTGATCCAAAGCCTGAGTTGAAAACCTTCTCAAGATACCCAGTCAGGCAGTGCCATACTCCAAACCAGGGCCAGAGTTCCTGACATCCCTGCTCTGCTGAGCTCTTTCTGCAGCCCCAGGAAACCTGGAAGAAGCTACTGGATAAACCCCAACACTCTTCTTGAAGTCTCACCTCATACCCACATAGCTGCTGCAGCCCACACACCACCTGAAGAGTTGAAGTCCCAGCCCCCAATAAAGAAAGGACTTCTGAGGCCACATCATCCTATGAGCCTCAGAGAACCCAAAGGGAACAATAGCTGTACTCACCTTTGAAGCACTTCCCAGGGCTGGGTAGAGGAAGGAGATAGGAAGAAGAGGGGAGGGCTCGGTAAGTATAGCCTTCCCCCATCTCTGCTTCCTGTCTCTCTCACACACTGTCTCTTTCTGACTCTCTTTTGGTCTCTTTGTCTGTTGGTCTTTGATCATTTTCCATCTCTATTTCTTTCTGTCTCTTGGTCTCTTTCTTTGTCTATATTTCATTCTCTATGTGTTTCTCTCTGTCTGCCTCTTCTCTCATCTCTTCCCTCCCCCTTCTCTCTCTCTCTCTCTTTCTCTCTGTCTCTGTCTCTCCTACTCATCCATCAGTGGTTCTGCTCTTAGAATTTAAAAGATTGGTGCCAATTTCAAGGTCATATTAATCCAGCTCTAGGAAAATCCCTGTTTGTGAAATAAGATATCCAGGAGTTAAAACAATTCTTACAAAACTCCATGGCCTGGTGGAGAGGGAGGAGCTCAGGCCTAGGAGTGAGAGCCCTGGGTTTCTTTCTCAGCCCTGCTCCAACCTGCTGGGTGACCTTGGGAAGCCTTCTTGGGGCTTCAGCTTCTGTATCTATTTGGACACACTGATCTCAAACACTAGCTTCAGCTCTGACAACCTAGTATTTGGAAGGATCCAGATGTTCAGATTCCCCAGCTCAGCCAGTGCAAATCCTAACTGTGGGCCTCATCAACCACTTGCTTTTGTGCACACTGGCAGGGAATTCCACCAGAGTTCCCCATGCCAGTAGGTGTCTCTATGCTCAGTGATAAGGATCTTGCACTAATCCTTGCTTCTTTATGTTCCTCTGTTTAAATGTGGATGAACATGAGTTGGGTTTGGCAGCAGATAAACCAAGCCGCCCTTTGGGAAGATCTATCTATGATAGGTGGTTTGGAGGGGACCTCTCAAGTAGCCTGGTTGGGGACTGAGTCTAAAGGCAGAAAGCCAGAGAGGAGTTATTCCCTTTTTCAACAGATGTTTACTGAGCACCACCTATGTGCCAAGCACCCGACCAAATCAGACACTGCCTTTGCCTTTGTTATAATACGAAGAAGAAAGTGATTCTTCTCTGCTGAATGAGTTAACATTCTGTGGGAATCCAGAAGCTACAGTGTTTTGCTTCGAATGAAGAAATCAAGAAATGCTTCACAAGAAAGTGATAGCTGATCTGAGCCCTGGTGGGTAAGTAGGATTTCAATGGACAGAGAAGTGTGGGGGAAAGGTGTAGTCCAGGCAGAGGGAACAGAGAGCAAAAGAATAGAGGGACCATTCCTTCAGAAACAACTGAGTAGAGAAACTGAGTTGAGTTCAGACTGTAGAGGGGTGTGGGAACCTACAAAAGGAGGCTAAGGAAATAAACTTTATCCTGGGGATATGGGGAGCCACTGAAGGTTTTTCAGCAGGGTAGTGACAAGCTCCAATTTATGCTTTAGAAAGATTCCACTGGCCATCAATGTGGCAGCTGGATGGAATAGCAGAGACAGGATGCAGAGACTCTCTGGAAAGACCAAGAGAACACAGAAGTAGAAGCTGTGCCAACAATCAGAATAAATTTATACATCAGCATACATACCCTAGGCTACAGGGTAGGGGAAGAAGCCAAGTGGAGTGAGTCAGGGACAGGAAATGAGGTCTGAGTAAGACTTGGCAAAAGAGAATTCACCTTAAAAGACAAGTCTGTCAAAGCAGGGAGAGAGAGAAGGAAGAACATCTCAGAAGCCCCATGAATGAGCCCTGTATTTGAAAGAAATCACATGTGATAAATCAGCATACATCAGAGCTGGCAGGAGCACATTCAAAACAGTTCAATTCTGCATCCTCACTGCATGGATGGGGAAACCAAGATCCAAAGAACATGAAGGACTTGCCTGGGTTCTCTAGCAAACCCATGGTAGAACCTTGTCTAGAATCAAGAACTCCTGCCTCCAAATCCCACAGTTTACCCCCTCCCATATTTTGTCTGGCTAGTGTGTGGCTCCATCTTGCCAGGAAAAAAGGACAATAGCCACAGGGACCACAGGAAGGTGCCTGGAATCCTAGCTCCTGTTAGGCAGACAGAAAGCTGTGGTATCAGGGAGTGTCACTCCATTCAGAGTTCAGTGAGAGCACAGCTAGGGCAGAGCCAGTGAAGGTAGAAAGAAAAGATGGGGAGAGGGATATTTTGAAAGAAAAGTTAGCAGGCTTAAATGAATGATGCTCCAAGAAGAAAGAAAACAAGAACCCAGGCATCCAAAAGCTCTGGTGATGCTGGATCCATACGGGATGTCATCATCATTAGGGAACAAGACAGGTTAGAGGTGACCCCCAAACTGAGGAGACTGGGGGGCTGGAGAGGGCAGAAGACAGAAGGGCTTGTTTGGAGTGAAATTATGAGTTTGCTTGGGATAGGCTGAGTTCTAAGTGATGGTAGAACCCCAAGGCTAATTTTTTGAGCACTTACTCTATCGTGGGCACGTGATAAGAGTTTTCAGCCTCACAAAACTCCTTGAGATAGCACAATTATTATGCTTATTGGATAGATGAAAAACTGAGGAATGGAGCTGTAAATAAATTTGTCCAAGGTTCCCCAGTTTGTAAATGTCCAAGCCAGATATCAAACCCAGGTCTGGCTAACTCCAAAGCTTGCTCTTGTTATTACTGTGCTCCAGTTCCATCACCAAGGAGCTACAGGGAGGAGACAGTTGAAGAAATAAGAATAGATAAACTTGGAAGTAGAGAGGACAGAGAGAAAAGTGAGAGTATGGTAAACCCCAAGCAAGACAATGAGCCCAGTAAGGAGTCAGAGAGGAGCAGAAAGAGATAGAGGGAGAATAAATAGAGTCTTTGTCACAGAAGCCAAAGTTGGGGGAAGTTTCAAGCCAAATGTCAAGCCTAGAAGACTCAGAAGGGAAAGTCAGAGTGCAAATGAGAGCTCTAGTTGGGGCAGGGCTAAAACAATCAGATCTGTGAAGGCATATCAGGAAACATGCCCTGACACACTCCAGGGAATAGCAAAAACAAACTCTGGGGATGGGGAGAAAATCTGATCTCCAGAGTTGCCTTTTGTATTATTAGATGTGTTCAGTGTTCAATAGCAACAAAAAAATATAAGACATGCAAAGAAAAAGAGAGGATGTGTCATACATGCTGGGAAAAAGCAATCAATAGAAACTGTACCTGAGGAAATCCAGATATTTTAAATCAGCTCTTTTAATTATGTTCAAAGAACTCAAAGAAACCATGTCTAAAGAACTAAAGAGGGACTTCCCTGGTGGTGCAGTGGTTAAGAATCTGCCTGCCAATGCAGGGGACACGGGTTCGATCCCTGGTCTGGGAAGATCCCACATGCTGCAGAGCAACTAAGTCCATGTGCCATACTACTGAGCCAAGCTCTAGAGCCCGTGAGCCACAACTATTGAGCCCGTGTGCCACAACTATTGAAGCCTGCACGCCTGGAGCCCATGTTCCACAACAAGAGCAACCACTGCAATGAGAAGCCCGCGTACCACAATGAAGAGTAGCCCCCGCTCACCACAACTAGAGAAAGCCACAGGCAGCAGCAAAGACCCAACGCAGCCAGAAAGAAAAAAAAAAGAACTAAAGAAAAGTATGAGAATAATGTCTCAGCAAATAGAGAATAACAATAAAGAGGTAAAAATTACAAAGACAAACCAAATAGAAATTCTGAGGTTGAAAAGTACTGTAACCAAAGTGAAAAATTCACTACAGGAGCTCAGTAGCAGAATTGAGCAGGCAGAAGTGTGAATCAGCAAGCTTGCAGTTAGGTCAATTGAGATTATCCAACTGAGGAAGAGAAATTTGCAAAGAGTGACTTAAAATAAACAGACCCTTAGAGACCCATGGGACACTACAAGCATTCCATTATTCACATACTGGAAGTCCCAAAAGGAGAGAAGAGAGAGAAAAGGCAGAAAGAACATTTGAAGAAATAGAATCAAAAACTTCCCAAATTTGATGAAAAACATGGATCTACCCATCCAAGAACCTCAACAAATTTGAAATACAATAAACACAAAAAGATCCACACATAAATACATCATAACCAAATATCAGAAGCCAAAGAATAATGGGGAATCTTAAAAGCAGCAACTCATGTACAAATCTTAAAAGCAGCAACTCATGTACAAAAGGGCCCCAATGAGGTTAATAGCTAATTTTTCATAAGAAGCCACAGACATCAATAGCCAGTGGGATGACATAGTCAAAGTGCTGAAAGAAAAAAACTGTCAATCAAGATTTCTATATCCAGACAAAAACATTATAAGAAAAAAACAAAACAAAACACCTAGAGACCAATATCTCTTATGAACACAGATGCAAAAATCCTCAACAAAATACTAGCAAACTGAATCAGGTAAAATATAAAAAGGTATTATGCACAAGGACCAAATGGGACTTTTTTCCCAGGAATGCAGGGTTGGTTCAATATATGAAAATCACCCAATGAGATATACCATACTAATAGAATAAAGGGGGAATAATCATCTCAATAGACACAGAGAAAGCATTTGACAGACTCCAACGTCCTTTCATGATAAAAGCACTCAAGAAACTAGGAATAGAAGAGAACTTCCTTAACCTATGAAAACTCCACAGTTAACCTTACATTTAATGGTGAAAATCTTCATGGTGAAACCATGAAAGCTTTCTCCCAAGATGAGGATCTTCTCTTACTACTTCACAGCATTGTACTGGAGTTTTTAGCCAGGGCAATTAGGCAAGACAAAGAAATAAAAGACATCCAGATTAGAAAGAAAGAAGTAAAACTAGCTCTATTTGCAGATAGCATAATCGTGTATACAGAAAATCTTATGGAATACACATACACACACAATTAGACTAATAAATTCAGCAAGGTTGCAGGATACAAGATCAATATACAAAATACAGTAGTATTTCTGTACACTAGCAATGAAGAATCCAAAAATGAAATTAAGAAAACAATTCCATGTGCAGTAGCATCAAAAGAATAAACCATTTAGGAATAAATTTAAGAAAAGAAGTTTAAGACTCATATACTGAAATTCCAAAACATCATTGAAAGAAATCAAGAAGAACTAAAAAAAATACAAAGACATCTCAGGTTCATGAACTTAATATTGTTACGATGAAAATACTTCTCAAATTGATCTACTTATTCGACTCAATCCCTATCAAAATCTCAGCTAGGGAGCTTCCCTGGTGGCGCAGTGGTTAAGAATCCTCCTTCCAATGCAGGGGACACGGGTTCAATCCCTGGTCCAGGAAGATCCCACATGCTGCAAAGCAACTAAGCCTGTGCACCACAGATACTGAGCCTGCGCTCTAGAGCCTGCAAGCCACAACTACTGAAGCCTGCGGGCCTAGAGCCCATGCTGTGCAACGAGAAGCCACGGCAGTGAGAAGCCCGCACACCAGAAGGAAGAGCAGCCCCCGCTCAATGCAACTAGAGAAAGCCCGTGCACAGCAACAAAGACCCAACACAGCCAAAAATAAATAAATAAATTTATAAAAAAAAAATCTCAGCTGGGTTGTTCGTTTATTTTTAAGAGACTGACAATCTAATCCTAAAATTCATAGGGAAATGTAAGAGATCCAGAAAATGCAAAACAATCTTGAAAAATAAGAAAAATGTTGGAGGGTTTACACTTCCTGATTTTAAAACTTACTACAAAGTTACAGTAATCAAGAGTATTTGGATCTGGTGTAAGGACAAACTTACAGATCAACGGAATAGAACTGAGAGACCAGAAATAAACCCATATATCTATAATCAATTAATTTTCCCCAAGATAGTTCAATGTGGAAAAAATAGTTTTTTCAACAAATGGTCCTGGAACAAGTAGATATCCATACGTAAAAGAATGAAGTTGGATCCCTCTCTCATACCACATACAAAAATTAAATCAAAATGGGCTAAACACCTAACTGTAAAGGCTAAAACTACAAAACAATTACAAGAAAACATGGGTGTAAATCTTCATGACCTTGTATTAGATAATGATTTCTTAGAATGACAACTAAAGCACAAGCAACAAAAGAAAAATAATAAATTGGACTTCATCAAACTTAAAAATGTTTGCTCTTCAAAGGGCACTATCAAGAAACTAAAGAGATAAGCCACAGAATGGGAAAAAATATTTGCAAATCTGAAAAAGTATTTGCAAACCCTTATATCTGATAAGGGTCTAGTATCCCAAATA